CATGGGATCTTCGATTAATAAACTCAATTTATCGGCTTCCATCTAAATATCATCCGAATCAACTCCAAACACTTCGAAAGTGTCCAAATGACTATGAAATCACTTGAAACATTAAGAAAAACACAAATGGAGTGTAATGGAGTACAAAACAAATAACTTATGGATTTAAAACCTAAAAAGCGACAAAAAGACCTAAAACGTTACTATGAAATTAGCATAAACGTGCCTATAAATCCTATATAAATGTGATTAATCAGTTAGATAGTTTGGGTAACAATCATCATTACCTAGTGTAGACACCTAGTTGTGTATCCCCAAAAACCAAACCCAGTGATGAGTACCTTTCACGTCATTTGATTATCGAACGAAGTGAAAGTGTGAAAAGTCTTGTGATGCAGTTATTTTAATAAAAATAACTCTTCTTTCTGTTTTTCAAAATGTACTTTACTGAAAATGTCCAGTCCAATTTATTTTGGTCCATGATAAGGGTTCATTAATAGTGTAGTTGGATTGGGTTCAAAAAGAGATTTCCAACTATATATTATAAGCCCAATTCCGATGAATAATGAAGAACTTATGGCCATAATACTAAACTGGGCCTGAAATGGTTTTATGGACCAATGATCTAGTGGAGGGCTCATTAATTAATATTCCTAAAGTTATTAGGATTGATTTTATTTTTCTAGAATAATCTAGAAGGTTGTTTTGAGTTCAAATAGGATTGGGATTATGATTAATAATTATATCTTTTATGAAAATAAAGAATTATATTTGGATTAAAACAAGTGTTTTAAAAGAGATTAAATCTTATTTTAAAGATAAGTATGGACGTTGTTAATCGAATTTAATTAGATTAAGGATTCCGTTAAGAGTTTTAAGAAAACGCGTGAATCAGCGCGAGACGACAACACTGGCGCGCAACGACAAGCCTGTCGAAAAACTAGTTCCGATTGCTAAAATCCATCAAAAATGGCATCAAAAGCCCTCAAAAAACTATATTCCAATGGTCTTTCGTCAGTTACAAGTTGTCGAAAATGTCCTCATCGGAAACTTGCACTTTTGCAATGGAAAAACCGTCAAAAAATATTTTTCCGCTAATTGTTTTTAGTGGAAATAGGAAATATTTTTGTCTTCCGACGGCCAAATTCCATCGGAGAGGAAAAACCATCGGTAATATCGACAGTCAGCCATTAGAAATTTCTAGAGAAATAAATAAAAATACAGACTCGCCCTCTAGCTTACCCTCCACCAGGCTGCCCCTTTCACCCACCCTCGCCACTGTTTGTCTTCACCGTTAACCATCTGTAAACACAAAATTTTAAATCTGCAAAATATAGATTCAAAATAAATGAAACAAAGTGATAATTTTATTAATTTGATAATTTTGGGTGCAATATCTAATTTTGGCCTCTGATTCGATCTCCACTTTGACTTTGATATGTTCCACGGGTTAACTTGATTCTTGATTGAGGGTCGTCGAGGCTTGATCTCGGTCGAAGATTGTTGATGTATACCTTTGACTTGTTGTTGATGTAGAGGCTTGATCTCAATCAATGACTATTTGATGTAGAGGCTGAACTGGTGATGTTCTTGATGATTTGAGGTTCTTATTTGCTTCGCGTTGAGGGTCGTCGAGGCTTGATCTCTTCCACATGTGATCTTCTAGAGTAGAACGACACGTTAATTGCTTGTTGTTATTCTTCTAGGTTTTGAGATGTTTTCTCTTAAAAGCTTTAGGGGCCGTTTGGTTGGGGTTAATAATCAAAGGGAAAGGGAATGAACATGCTCTATTCCCTTTGTTGTTGTTTGTTTGTCACATTCAATCATTCCCTTTACCCATTTTTATTTTTGAGTTCACCCCAAATCCCTCTACATTCATTCCCCACCCCCCTGGACTTTTCCATTCCCATTCCCTAGCCACCATTACACCACCATTCCAACATCAGCCACCACCCTTCTACCCTACCCCCACCGCACAACCACCACCTATCCACCTTACCGCCCCTTGACGCACCGCGTGGTCGCACCGCTCCGCCTGTTCGCACCGCACTGCCGCGCCTGTTCGTCACACCTAGCCTCGTCGCACCACCTGTTCACACCGCACCACCCTATTCGCACTTCCCCTCAAAAACCACACCGCCCCTGTTCGCACCACCCTGACCGCACCGCACCGCCCTGTTCACACTTCCCCTCAAAAACCGCACCGCCTCTGTTCGGACTTCCCCTCAAAAACCGCACCACCCCTTGTTACACCTCCCTCGTCGCACCGCCCCTGTTCGCACCGCCAATAATTAGGGTTTTGTGTGATGGATAATTAGGGTTTTTGAGTGGGTGGGGGTTTTCCGGGGAGGGGAGGAGTGGTAGAGGTGCGACGGGCTCTAGGGGATGCCGAAAAGGTGGTGGTTGGGCGGTGGGATAGCTGGAGAAGTGGGAAAGTGAAGGAAAAGGGGGTTGTGTGGTGGTGGTGCTATGGTGGTGGTGATTCCCTTTGGTTTTTGTAAAACAAACAACATGCTATATGGAAAGGGTTTCATTCCATTCTCTTTGAATCCCTTTGTTCATTCCATTCCGTTTACCTTGTGCGAACCAAACAACCCCTTAGAGTATTTGATAAAAGGTTTCCTCTGGAGAGGTTTAGAGTAAAGGATTATTTCTATGTATTTTTATTCTTCTTCTTTTTCTCTAGGTTTTCCTCTTCTCTCCTCTCAACTGAAATAGAGAACCTCTATTTATAAAGAGAGACACCCTAGGGTTAATTAGCTTAGGGTTTGATATGTATTGGGATTTTGAGGCAATCATGACTCATTTACAATAGTTTAACCCATTTTAATAGGTTTTCACTATTAAATAAACAAATTAATTAAAATGGGCTAATTTAATTTATTTCACCCAAAATAATTAAGTTTAGGAAAAATGGAATCTAAAAATCCAACCTTTGGCCGGTCTGACAATAATTAAAAAAACCAACCTTTCATTAATCTCACAAAAATCCAACATTTGCCCCCACCTTCCTTGACAGGTTCATTTGACCTTGAACTTGTTAAACAAGTTAAAAAGTTTTTTTTTAATTCTCTTAATTTTTTTTAATTCTCTTAATTTCTCTTCTCACTCCTCTCCTAATAAACAACCCACCAATCCACCAATTCTGCCACCCCAACAAGCCACCAAAAAAACCAGAAACAACCCCAACAACCCACCACAAAACGGAAACAACCCACCACCTGCCGCCCCGAAACCCGTAAAACCCCAGCCCTAACACCAACCACCCACAAAACCCCGACCCTAACACCAACCACCCCAAAATCCCGACCACCTGAGCCACCAACGAAACTCGACCCCTAAACTCGCCCCCTATTTCTTCTTCAATCTGAATTGGCTGCTCCAACTTGGGCTTTGATTCCCTTTTTCAAACACCATCAAAATACATCATCAATCTTCATCATTGAATGAATAACCACCGCTCATCATTCATCACCGAAAATCGAAATTATCAAATAACCACCGTTCGATCTTAATTAATGATATTAATTTTTTTTTTTAAATTTGGCTATTGTTGGGCGGCAATTGTGATTTTGTGATGAGGGTAAGGGGGTGATTGGTGTAGCTGGTGACTACATTGTTGTTGGAGATTGGTCAGGTGGTTGGTGTGGGATGTGCGTGAACTGATTGGTGTAGTGGTGGTGAGTGGTGGCAATGTGGTGAGCTGGTCAGGTGGTCGATGAAGATTCCGGGATGCAGTGTTCGGTGATTGTGGGGATGTTGTTGTGCGTGAGTTCATCGGAGTGGTGTGGTTGTTCATCGGGTGATTAGTGTTGTTGATTGGTGTTGTGGGCACGCGGGGGGGGGGGGGGGGGGGGGGGGGGGGGGGGGGGGGGGAGGGAGTGGTGGCAGGGGAAGGTGGTGGTGGTGGAAAGGGTTTCTGATTTTTTTTTTTCTTTTTCTTTTAATTATTTTTGTTTTTTAATAATTAAAAAGTTAATTGACCTATTATTGGCTGACACGTGACAACTTAGAGTACCCACAGCCATTAACTATTTGGGTGGTTATTAAGAGAGAGAAAATGAAAATATTAATAAAATATTGAGGAGAGAGAAATTATTGGGGTATCAATTGAATAACCAGGTTATTCAAATAACCGGTTATGTATATGGTCATGCAATTTTTTTTTGCTTTTTGGTTGACATGGATGGCTAAGATTTTGACACGTAATACAAATATCAATGGTTGAGATTTGCTCTGAATTTATAACTGTTGTAATTTTTGTAACGGCCATAATTTTTAAAATACAATTCTGAAAAAAAAAAAAATACACCAACAGCTCTATTTTATTTTTCTCTATAAAATGAGCCCAATATTGAAGTATTTTGAAACAACTTTTTTTTAAGTGAAAATTACTCTTCTTATTGGCAAATTGTGTTAAGATGAACATTCCAAAATCTAACAGAAAAAAAAAATCCACAAAATCTCATAACTCATCACAGCCCCAAAATAATCCAAATCCTCAACCTTACTATTCTAATCTTCCAATTGATCTCAACTCAGATTTAGATACAAATTTTCAAAATTTTCCGAATTACGGTTCACAAAATCTCAATTTCTCAAATCCAAGTACTTTCACTCCGTTTCCTTTTCAACCACCACAAAATCCTAATTATTCAAATTCTCCAAATGTTATCCCATCTTTTTAAAATATTCAAATCTCTCAAATTGATTCAACATTTCCCATGTCTCAACATTTTTCTATGTCACAAGGTGATGGTGCATTTCCGAGTTTCGATTGTTCATACACATCGAATGCATCAGATGACGAAAATGAACCAGAAGTTGAAGAAGGCGAAGGTAATGAAAGAGGTAATGAAGGAGGCAATCAAGATGGAAGGAAAATTTTTTGATCAAAAGCTGAAGAAGTGGTTCTTATGAAGGCTTGGCTTGAGGTTAGTCAAAATAAAAAAACTAACACTAACCAAAAGGGGGATATTTTTTGGAGGAATATTGAAGAAATGTATAATAATGTTAGACTATACAAACAAAGGTGTTTCGAAGAAGGTACTGATCGGGTAACACGAGAAGATTTGTTGAAAATGAGGGGTACGGAGCAACTTAGAAACCGTTGGAGAAGGATTAATGCTTCATGTTCTAAATTTTGTGGCTCACATGCTCATGCTGAATCAAAAAAGGGAAGTGGTATGAATGATGAAGATGTTATGAAATTAGCATATAGTATATATGCTAACGACAAAACAAAGTCTTCATTATGCTCTAAAACCTTTCAAGACAAGCATGTTTGGGACATCTTAAAACAACATGAAGCATGGAAACCAAGTGAAGATGTTGTTAAAAAATGCAAGGAAAAGACATCCACTCAAGGAAGTGACTCAAAGAGATCTCGTATCAATGAAGCTGGAAACTACTCCTCTTCATCAAACCCAGAAACACCAACCAGTGGTGATATTGGGTATTCAGGCTTTCCTTCTAGCAACGAATCTAGTAAAAATAAAGGAAAGAGCAAGGTGCCAAACATGCCAAGTGGAGCATGGCAACAATGGTTGGACACTGCCCAGAACATGAACCTTATAAGGCAATCAGAAAATGAAGTTGAACTTACAAGGTTGCAACTAGAAAGGGAGAAAGAAGCAAGGAAGCAAAGAAAAATTAATATGGAGTTATTTAAACACCTCGATTCAAAGCCAAACTTATCTTCGGAAGATCAAGAATTAAGGAGCACTTTGTTGAAGAAGTTGTTCCCCTCAGACTAATGTATTAGTGTATGGTTGATTATTGTCGTAATGTTGGTTGATTTCAAATAATTCCTTTTTTATTGTTCTTTTTTATGTACTTAAGGTCTGATTTGTAGTTTGAATATTTTTAATAAGTTGTTGTTTGAGGATGTGAATGAATTTTATATTATAATGTCATTATTAATAAAAAAATTAAGTTAAATTACATGTCTCTTCTTATAATCGTATTATAAGCTTAATAATATTATTCAATACATTAAAGTTTGTATATAATAACATATAATTATTATTGATCTGACTAAACCTATTGATTCACTTTGATATATCACTGCAAAAGATGTACATTGATTTACATTACACTGTAAAGTATTTGATGTACCCAACACTGAAAAGCAAATATTAAATACTAGACATTGATGTACTTAACACTGAAAAGGTAATAGTGAATTTTGTTCACTGATGTACTTAACACTGAAAAGGAAATAGTAGCATGCATCACTTGCTTTGACGTACATAACAATGTTAAGGTGATAGTGACAATGCAAAGGCATGCATCTCCATTACTTTTAAAAATTATTAACTACTTTATGAATCATTGCATGCATGCAAGACTTCAAATTTACCATATAAGACAAAAAAATTACTACATATCATACACACTTGTTCTATAAGATGGATACATCAGAGTGGGATTCCCTTGAACAACCATCCATTTCCCCCTATTATACTTCTACCTTCCATTCTCATATCAAATTTGGTTTTAAAAACATGTCATCTGACGATAGCTCCAACTCTTCTAATTCCTCTTCCAATTCAGAAAATAGCCAAACCCAACGATATGAAAGACGAAGGCAAGCCAATCGCCAGTTCGATCGAATGATGGATGAAGTTTTTATGTCCAATCCAGTTGAAGTATATCAAATGTTTAATCAAGTGCCAAGGCCACCAAGGGTTCCCGTTCCAAGGGATCGCGAGGATGGACACAGTCGTTTATGGAATGACTACTTTACCGACCATCCTGTGTTCCCTCCACAATTATTCCGTCGGAGATTTCGCATGAACAAACATATATTTCTCCGAATTAAGAAAACTTTAGAAGAACGTCATCCCTTCTTCCAGCAAAGACAAGATGCTACAGGAAGATTTGGTGCCTCTGCATTACAAAAATGCACCGCGGCTATGAGACTAATAGCTTATGGCACCTCCGCTGATTCTGTGGATGACTACATTCGGATTAGTGCATCTCTTGCAAGAGATTCACTTCAGCATTTTGTGGAAGGAATAGTCTCTTACTTTAGTGATGAATACCTTCGAAAGCCCAATGAAGAAGATCTAGTAAGACTACTAAGGATTGGTGAACGTCGTGGATTTCCTGGCATGTTAGGTTCTATTGATTGTATGCATTGGAGGTGGAAAAACTGTCCACTTCGATTAAAAGGTATGTTTTCTGGAAGACCAGGTAAACCCACATTAATCTTGGAAGCTGTGGCATCATATGATCTTTGGATCTGGCATGCCTTTTTTGGGACACCAGGTAGTCGTAATGATATTAATGTTCTTGATAGATCCCCATTGTTTAATGATGTTTTTGAAGGTTGTGCACCCTCTATTAACTATGTTGTGAATGGTCGCACATACAATATGGGATATTATCTCACTGATGGTATATATCCTAAATGGGCGGCATTCATTCCTACAATATCACTACCACAAAATGAAAAAGAAGGTCTATTTGCCAAAGTACAAGAAGCTAAACGAAAGGACGTTGAGCGTGCTTTTGGAGTATTACAAGCTCGTTTTGCAATAATACGGAATCCAGCGCTAGCTCGTGACGCATCAATGTTAGGAAAAATAATGATAGCGTGTATTATTATGCACAATATGATTGTTGAGGATGAAAGAGATACATATAAAACGTATTACGATCCAAATGAATATGATCAAGCTACAAATGCGTCTTCAAGTAATGAAAATAATGAAGAGCCTTTTCAGTTCCAAAATAGCAACAACCGAATTGCAAGTTTGGAAACTTACATGTCTAATAGAGCACGTGTTCGTGATGAAGCTATGCATAAAGCATTGAAGAAAGACTTAGTTGAACATATGTGGCTCAAATTCGGTGTTCAAAGTAGGGACAATAATATGCATTAATAGATGTGTAATCGCAATATTATATCATTGTGTTTGTACTTGTTCGCGGTTCGTTATTATCTTTCAAAGACTTTTGTCATTTGATAGAATATATATGTATGATTTTTATTATTGTGGAATGTAGTAGGGTTACAATTATTGTTTGTGTCTTAATTAACGACTAATTACGTACTAATTAATATCAAAATTGCATTATTTTTAAATTTTTGAGATTTTATCTAATTAATGTATGCTAATAAATAATTATTAATTTTGAATGATTATTAACAAATGCATTATTTAATAATAATAGAATTTAAGTAATAAATTGTGTGGTGGGGTTGGGTAAAAGTAGGAGAGAGAAAATGTATAACCAAAATATTATGGTTAACTATTGGCATACATTGGTTATTAAATGGTTATAAGAGTGGTTATAAGTGAGGTGGAAGATGGATAAAATAATAAAATAATTAATAACCAAGATGGGGTTGGGCAACCATTGTGTATGCTCTTACAAATACCGGTCATCAACAGGTCATAGATCTTTAGATGAAGGTAGAGTGTAAAGGTTGTGTTTTTTTGAGATTAATGAAATGTTGGATTTTTATTGTCAGGCCGTGCAAAGGTTGGATTTTTAGATTCCAATTTTCCTTAAGTTTAATTAATAGTCAATATTTTGACTTTTGACCCATATAATATCCGATGTGGCACTTTAATAAATTTTTCGTGCCTACGCCATCCACCCACGTTGCCCCCTCCTCTCCTTTTCCACCAGCCACACTAGCCAACACTCACCCACTTTAACCCATAAAAACACCCAGCCCACCCTTGAAAAAAACCCTCCCAACAAAAACAACATGAAAACCAAACAAAACAACCCAAAAACTAATTCAAGAATAATTCAAACTCGAAAACAACCATAAAAATAAACCCAAATTGGGGGGCGTTTGAATAATCGTCGGGGAGAATTTCCCAACCACAAGCTAAGGCTCAAGCTCTTCAAAAATAAGGCAATGCTCAATTGCCCACCAAGCGCGATCGAAGCTGCAATCGACCCGAATCCAAAATAATTAACTAAAATTTTTATTTATTTTAAGTATTAAATGTATGTTTACCGACTACTATAGGTAAAATACTCCCTGATCGAGTACTTGCTTGAGTCCCCTTTTTGCAACAAGTTGATGTTTAGTCCCCAATTTTAAACGAGGGAGCCCAGTTGATCTCAGATATTAACAATCTAATTTATCACCTCACATAACTTTATGTGTTGAAATCTGTGCCACTTTATTATTTTACTTTTATCATTTAAAAAATAAAAGAAAATGAATAAATTGTGATAGGAGATTTATTCACATCATTTATCTCAGAGATCAACTTGAATTTACCCATTTTAAACAAAGGTCATAGTTTAGTCCCTTCCTTTATGCTTTACTCTTGTTTATCAATATAAAACTAAGATATTACCAATAGATCGAAAAGGAGTAATATTTTAGTATGTATAATCAGTGGCGGAGCCAGGATTTTTACGATGGTAGGGCACCGTATCATCTAAAACCCTTTAATCAAAGAATGTTCATAATATCAAGACTCAAAATTACTTAACAATCGTATTTGTCAAGCCTTTATTATTCAAAAATACATAAAATATTACCCCTATTCAAGGCTTTAAACAATAACCTCACTCATATTTTTTTTAGATCTTTTATAATAGTTTTGGAATCAGATAGATTTTTTGTATCAAATAGGATTATCCAAAATACTACTTATAAGGATTTATAACTAATAATTCAAGTATACTCGTATATGTAAAAAGAAATGTTAAAATTAAACTTGACTAGTTTTCAAGTTTTGAAAGCATATTATTATATCATCAATTTCATTATCTTAGGTAGAAAAGTATTTCATTATCTTAGGTAGAAAAGTAATAAAAAAAAATGGGCAAGAGATTAGAACCCATGACCTTTGATTGAAAAGGTAAAGCTCTAACCACTAGGCTACTAGTAAGTTGTAACATAATAATGTACTTTATATTCTATTTAAACAAAATTTAGACAAATTTTTTTTTTTGGAAAAAACCTGGCAGGGCACGTGCCCTACCAGACACTGTGTATAATGTATCAATATAACAAGAATCGACATAAATATGCTTTGTTTTCGGTTTTTTTACCACACACCCCTGAGTTTTTTTATTTATTCACCATATACTCATGAAAATTGTCAAATTCACCATATACCCCTGAGTTGTTACAAAAAATTCACTATATACCCCTGATGACAATAAAATGAGTGGAATTTGATTAATTATGCATCTACATCACCTTATATTTCTCCTTTCATCCCTGAAACCACTCCTCTCCTTTGTCCAATCCCTGAAAACCACTCCAAATCTCAATAATCATATCCGTATAATCGATTTTGAGAATGAAAAACAGAAATTTTGCGTGGTTTTAAAGGTGAGAAAAAGAAATGTGGGTGATTTCGAAGGTAGAGGAATGTATTAAGGGTAGTTTTGGGTCATAAGTAACCCTAATAATTGACAAAGTTAACAATCATTAGTTATCAAGGGTATATGATGTATTTTTTTTAAAAACCTAAGGGTATATGATGAATTTTATAAACTTCATGGGTATATGGTGAATAAACAAAAAACTCAGGGGTATATGGTGAAAAACTTTTTTGTTTTTGTTTTTTTTTTTTTTTTTAAACAAAAGACTGTAAAAAGGTGTGAGGATAATAATGTGTGAACTACAGTGTAAATTTTCATTATTACGATTAATTAAAAAGAATGTGCGGCATGTAACCTTTCTTATTTTTTGTTCAATGTCACGTCAATTTGTAACCTTGATAAACTATTTGATCAATAGTACTACAATTAAGGTAAAATGAAT